GAACCCCATGCGACTAATTGTGTGATTTTATTTATGCGCCTAATTAAGGGTTAAGTGTCAACTACTGTCTCCAAGAACGAGCACGTCATGGCTGCATTAAATGTTTCTTTGGAAATAATGGCACGTGTATGTATAAAGCTTCGCTGGCCCTGATCTAGAGTATTCAATAAGAGACCGTGTGATAGGCCCATTCATAATATAATCTAAAACACCAACAATTGATCGTAGAGGAAAGTAAATCCGTACATTATTATTCTACTTTGAAGTGTATGCATTCCGATTAACCAGCGTCTTTAAAGATAAGCTGAATCAAAAAGTTTGAAAATGTGACCATTTCAAGAAAAAAGGGGGAAAATGTCGAGCACGGAAGGCCTATCGCTTTAAAAACTCCGAAAAAGGGCTTCAAAAATACATCTTTTTTTAAATTATCCGACTAGGTCGTTCTGACACAATCTGAAAATTATTATTTGTTTACAAAACACCAGCTGTTCTTTTCTTTTAAGTAAAATGTTTCTGATTCAACTTACATACGCAAATTTGCCAAGTTTACTTACATACATTTAACATATTGACATGTTTACCATTAGCATTTTCGCAGTAACTTAATTCCTTCCTTTTTATTTGCGTGTTCTCTAGCACTATATAGAAAGCTATAATGCCCTTAGCTTACATACATACATGCATATTTGAAAGTTAGTAAATAAATAGTAAATAAAGCAAAATTTCTACATATGTACATGCGAGCGATTTTAAAGTGCTGGGCAATCGAACTGAAGTTATTATCATACTAAATAATTTATTAACGTATTTTTTCTTGCATTTATTTTTTGTTTAGTTTTTTACCTATTGTAAATATCATTGGTCACTTTTCATTAAGGCTGTATATATTTCTTTACACTGTGAATTAATTTTGCCTACTACTAACACATTACAATACAATTATCTGAGCAACACAATAAGTCAAGAAATACATAACGCTTGCTTGCTGTAAGAGTGCCATGAAATTAAAAATAAAATTAATCAAGCATAACCAAAAAAGTCAAGGAAAAATTCGTTAATAACGGCGGCTTTGTTCACAAATAATGTGTATTGTTAAATAAATAAGTATAAATAATAATTGAAGGAATTTACTTCTTATATTGGAAAGTGTGAGCATTTTCTCTTGTTGTTGTTGCTATATAATAAATATATATTTTCTATTTTTGCACAACAAGATATGAGCTAATAATGAAAATGTAATTATGAAATTCTTGCAGCAAAGTGATAACTATAAGTATATGCATATAAGCATGTACATACATATGTACATATTTACATGCAAATGGTCGCATTCCAGTAAATTCCACTGCGAAGATTCGCGGTTAAATATCTGAGCAAAGATTTGGGTCAAAGGATTTTCGCTTAACCTGAGTGGTTTTTGCGCCATTCATTCAAGTGATATGTATGCAAATTATCACTGGAATGGACTAATATGTATGTGCAACTTAATTATTTAGAGTCTAATAATAACAAACTATTTTACTTATTAGCACGATTTTTTTATATTTCACATATTTTTCCGCTATATATTATAAATACATATGTATATAGTATTGTATAAATACCATACCCGCGGGAAAATCTACAAATTCAGTATAAGTACTGTGTAAGTGTACATAGTGAATGCGAACAAGGGAATCTTTAAGCCTAAAGCAATTAAATTTTATGCAAACTTGCGCATGAATGTTAATCGCATTCTTCAAAAAATAAAAACAAAATAATACATATTTCTAACTAAAACTCGGTAAAACACAGCGAATAACAAACTTTAGAAAATAATAGTTACAATACTGAAAAGTAACTGGTTTTCTTGCATTTACTACCGTAGCACGCCGGCATTCAGCATTCAATACTGGGCTCCTAAACGTTCAGTTTTAATTGTTCATATTTTCCCCGCTGGGTAGAAATATACACACATACATACATATATACATACATATGTACGTAGTGATTAGCTGATATATACGATTTTATTTTTTCTACGTTTTATAATTAGAAATTTGTTTGAGAGGGCCACAACTATATACTTATACTGAAACTTTTGTGAAAAATATGCACAAGTTATTCATTCCAACACTACGTAAAGAGAAAATTTGAAATTTAAATGGCAAACACTTATTACAATTGCATTTTTAGTAAACATCTCTCAAAAATTAAATAAAAAACTAGCGCCTAAAATTTTAAGCTTTGCTTTTACTTAGTTATTCAGCTGGTTCTATTCAGAAATAATATCGATCGGCAGAAAACTTAAAAAAACAATTTTAGAAATTTGAAATCAAGGTTGAAAAATTAAGTTTACAAAAAAATTCGAAACTAAAAAAAAAATTAGAAGTACCTACATATGTATTTACTTTACTTCATTTGTCTAAAAATCATATAATAAACATGTAAATAAATTAGAGATGTAACGGCTAGTGACTTGGTCGGATACCAAATACCGAATATCCGACGAAAAACTGTCCGGACAGCCGGATACCTGATACCGGATATCCGCTACAACTATAAATAAATTATAAAGCTTGTTAAATAATTTAAATATATTTAGGACTGAAATTTTCAAAGTTAAAAGTAATTAAACTTCCGCTGTTCAATTTTCGGAATATAAAAAATAGTTATTCGTATATGTACATAGTTCACTTATTTTACTCTAAAAATCGAAACAAACATTTTATAGAAACATAAGAATTTTCATTTACAGCAGCTTTCTTGAATTTTATGAATTGAAAATTTAAAGTAAATTATTATATTTATATTTCTAATTAATTTTCCACTTTAGTTTTTCTACATCATTAAAAAATTAATCAAACATATGAAAAAATGTTTTGCTGTCTCACCGGTTACTTAAACGGACTGCCGTAAACGTTAAATGCAAATTAAATCGAAAATTTAAAACTAAAATAAAAACTATTATTAACCAAAATGGTTTTCGTCAATCTGGCCGTGACTTCCCCACAATTTCACCAAAATTAATAATATTTAAAATTTCATGGTTTTGAATTGCAATTGTACTAAGATTTGCTATGTTCGTGCATACACTTCTTTTAAACTAGTGAGCTATCCAGTACGCAAAACTCTAACGTTTTACTTATTTGTTAATATCCTTTTTGTTTTTTATTTAATATATGCGTAATTTAACTTAACTCCGAACTAAATCGAATCCTATTCATCATCTATAATACACAACTGCTTCCACTATAGTACAGTTGTTGTCAAAATAATAGTGGTGTGAAATGTAATATTCTTTCGAATGTTTTGGCACTAAATTCTTTCTTATTTCTTCCTTTTCTCACATATGTACATAATTATCTATAAATATTTCAGTATTCTATATTGTTACTGTGATTCCTACAAAACCCACAATACTATTATTTCGACCGCACCTGTACATCCCAACCACGATACCTCTTTCTAAAACTTTAAGCCACTTCAAACACCTTCAATCCACTGTAAACCACTTAGAAGCAAACTAATTGTTCCGACTTCTCGCATACGAACACGACGCGCATTCGACACCTCTACATTCGGTTATGCTTATATGTACATACCAGGGTTGTTGCGAATATTATTCCGAAATAAACATCTTTTCCGGATAATAAACAAACCGCTTATGCAAATTAAACAAGTTTGGTATCAAATGAAAGAGGACTTAAACAGCTTTAAAACTGAAATGTCTAAACGAGGAAAGCCACATACTGAAAAATATTTCAACAAAAAATGTTAATTTATTATCATAGAACAAACCTTGGGTCAGGTATATGCAACTCTTTAGTATTAAATTATAAAAAAATATAAATAGAGGTTGTTCGTTAATTCTGTTTAAAAGCTATTTCAGTCCTTTTTCATATGATACCAAATTTTTTTAATTTGGACGGGCCGTTTGTTTATTATCCGGAAAGGATTTTTATTTTGATATAACATTCGCAACAACCCTGGTACATACATATACATATGTACCCTCATTGCATGCGCTCCTTCTAAAAATGCATATATGTACATATCTATGTATGAATGTTTATACATAAACACTGTTCCATATCATCATCATACGCATACTACATACATATGTATGTATATATGTTTATAATGATGATTTGGAACAGTGTATACATATATGCCAGCAGAACTACTGCCATCATCAGCTCCATATATATACGCATCCATATGTATAAATTATATACTTCATATCATTTACCTTTCTTACCCACCCATAAACACACAAAAACCCTTTTGGTCTGATTATGCATACTTCGCATAACTTCGCATAAATTTCAAACTGCAATTTTGTAGGTACTTTGAATATAGTTTGTATGTACTCCCATTACCCCGTAATTAGCAGAACTTGTAAAAACTTAACGATCTGTTGAGTTTAGATTTTGCTTAACATTTTCTTAAGTGACATTTCATTTGCATTGGTACAAATGGTTGTGCGAAGTTATGCGAAGTATGCATAATCCTACCTTTACTCTATTTTACCCGCAAAATTCAAACTCATTACTTATATACATAAAAACTCTGTGGACTTTTGACAAAACAACTCTCTCGAGTGAGGTCATTTTCTCTTCAAAGCAGTAATTTATTGAGTTCTCGAATGATATTTTTATGCTTAGCTATTAATAGGAGTAGTTCAAGATGATATCTTAATCAAAGTTGAATAAAAATATAAAATTTTTAAAGGGAAGTTCCTTATAATTTACACTAAATTCCAACCTACAGAAAGCACAGAGGTTGTTTGGTCATAAGTCCACAGATATGTACATTCATTATTAATACTTGTATTCGTAGTCTTGCATTACGTTACATTGCATACATACGCACAAATCAATATATGTATGTACAACAAACAAAATTGCTTTTCGATATTTGATAATGAAACGAAAATGTGTATCCACAAGTAATAATTGCAAAAAAAAATGTGAATGAAAATGATTTCAATTAAAAAACACGTATATGTAATTCTACAGTGATATGTGCTCAAGGCCTGATAGCGAAGGATAAAAGCGGTACCAGTGATCCCTATGTGACGGTGCAAGTTAGCAAGGTGAAAAAGCGTACACGTACAATGCCACAGGAGTTAAATCCTGTGTGGAACGAGAAGTTTCACTTGTGAGTACTTAATTGTCTGTCTGACTGTTTAACTGCCTGTATGCCGGTCTAATTGTTTGTATGTTACCGTATGCCTGCGTTTATTTATTCAATTCGTTTGTATCATAAATAAATAGATAATATTGCATTTACATTGAACCCAAATACGTCACTTGAGAGGGAAATATGAAATGCGAAGTCAAATCACGCATTTCCCTATACACAAGGCATATTAAATAAGGTAGAAGTGATAGTGACATTTCTCTCTTTTGAACACCGACTATAATGTCAAATGATGAATAACTGTTAACCCTTTTCAAGGTTGCATTTTCTATTTTTCATTAAAAATTCAATTGCGTGCTGCGAGATAGTTTTGAATTGTGTGAATTTTGTTGTTTTTACTTTGCAATTGATGGGAAATCAAAGCAAATGCAATTCGGGCAGTGTAAATACATTCAAATGCCTTATTTCAAAGCGCGTATTTGCGTTCAATGTAAATGTAATATAAAATCTTCTAACTAGCAAAGTATTAGACTGATGCACAAATGCCTTGGTTTCACCGGCGCAACAAGCGACCTATTGCATGTGACACTTACCATTTTTATACCAACACACAAATCGCTACAATTTTGATATTTTTCAATAATTTTGAATTTTAAATACTTTTGTGAATATATGTACGTTTTTTAACATTGGGTTGTCAAATGCAAACTTTTAGGTCTTTCTGATTGTCTGAAGCAGAAAGCTTTCTGAAACTAAACCGGTAATGCCTCTAGTTCAATATACAGGCCAAGGTAGTTTTCATAAGCCAATATAATTGCGTAATGTAAAGCTATACATAAAAGTACACAAGTTCTTATACATACATTGAAAGTATGTATAATCTTTTTTAATTGCATAAACAATGAACATTATTTATTTTATTCGTTGTCAAAAAAACAAATATATTAATCTTTTTTTCAAAACGGTACAATGCATGTACATATACACATTGTCAGTGTTTAAACATCAAGATCAATTATACGCCATATATGCATATCAAGCACGCCTAGTTACTTAGTTATTTTATTTTCTCCATAAATTACCAACAATATGTACGTGTGTTTAGGAAGGAAAGAATCCTCATTTGACACATTGCACAGATATTAATTCATTTTCATTTGCACTGCATTTCATTGCCATTGCTTTTATTGCTCTCTCACACGATAGATGCTTGAAACGACAATGCTTAGAGAGAAACAGGTTATGCAATGGCATAAATTGCCTATTTCTCTCTGTGCTTTTGCAGTGCATAGTTGGTTGAAATCAAAACGTTGCATTGGTATGCTAAATGAGCAAATGACTTGAAACCAGCTGAAAGCCGAGTTGTGCACCAGTCTACTAAGTCTTTATTATTTTCTATAGTATATATGTATCTATAAGCTTTTTCCGTTTCATTTAGTCAAGTTTCTAACACTTATCAGTCACTTCTTGGGCCTATGTCACACACTATAAATCTAACGTTCTGTTTACTTATATCTAACACTCTTATTTACTTGTATGTACTACATACATACATATATCCGCACAAATTACCTACAATAAGTGAATGAGACATGCACCACAGCAAGAGAAAGTAAACTGCAAACGGCACATGTGCCCTTGAAATTCATCATAATACATTGGACTTCACAACATACTATATCAAATAAAACACCTCTTTGAGGTAAAATTTTCGAGTGACGAGAGCTGAACTAGAAACACAAAATTTATGATATCAATTTAGTGACGAAAGTTATACGCATTTTTTAACTGCCTTTGTAACGCAGGGAAAATCTTTTTTATTCATACGAATCGTTGCACAAGTTCTGTTATTCATTTTGTGTTTCTAGCAGTAGAGCGGAATTTCGCAACGTTCCGAATAATAAAAAAAGATTTTCCGTACGTTTCAAAGGCAGTTAAAAATGCGTATAATTTTCGTCACGCAATTGATATCATAAATTTTGTGTTCGTATTCAGCTTTCGTCACTCGAAAATTTTACCTCAAAGAAGTGTTTTATTTGATATCAATTATTTTGGGGTAGCAAATTTAAAATCGACAGAAATACAAACAATAATCTAAATGTTTTATTTTTCTCAAATAAATTGCTAAAAATATTAAAATCCAAATTATGTATTCAAAGCGATGAGTCCATTGAAACATATAATTTTTCGAATACGGAATAAAACGAAAAATAATGAGCATATCCTTTGTATTCGAAAAAAAAAAAAAAAAAAAATATGAGATATGATAACAACTTATCAACTTGGTACTAACTTTGGATACAATAAACAACTGTATTCGTCTGATAGTCTCGTAGTTTATTTTTGTTAAGATTTCTACCGGGTGTGGTGGGCACACATGTGCTTTTTTTGAGAAGTTTTACTTCTATCACGTGTACGGTGTTGCACTCGTGCCATTAAACTAATGCTTTTTTCTCAAGTAGTTTTGCTCAATAAATTTTGGCAATTTATACATATGTATGTAAGTAGTAACGGCACATTGGGTGAATTAAATGCATTCATACATACATATTTATGTACAACTATAGGTAAATACCAGGTAGGTTAAGTGCGGGTGATAAACCCATGTCGCATAGTTAAATACTGTGTACATACCTGCAATTAAACTGGGGAAAAATGTTACAATTTCGGCATGTGACTGAAAAAACTCTAAAATACACACAAATGGTGGTTTCCAAGACATGTACGAAGTGATTAGCACAGCTGCTGTCAACTCGCGGGAAATTCCCCGATTTGCAAGGAATTTCGGTTTAAGTGGCAATCGGGGAATGGGCAATTTTTTCGGGGAACTGGGAATATTATTTTTATATCTTAAAGTAACCAAATTAGACGGATGTGTTAATTTTTAACCATTTGACCCTTTTTGGAGCGACATTTTTTCAATTTGAATCCCAATATCTCCACAACAAGAGTTTTCCCAGATATAAGCTGTATACCAGATGAAAGCTAAGGTTTCGGGCTAGATTTTTGGAAACCTAGAATAAAATTGACTGACCAGTTTTTGAGAAACTGCCGTATATTTTCAGCAGCCCGATTTTTAGTTTTCAGGCGATAACGTTATGATATGTTTATATTTTATAAACAAAAAAGATGGCGTTTGATAGCTTGTTTGAAGACCCTTCTACTGATATCCGCGTCAATGACATGGAGTGAGTAGTGCGGCCTCAGTGGTAGTTTAAAAAATTGCGTTTTTTCGAATTTCAGGCAGCAGCCACGCCCACAAAGGCATACGAATCAAAACATCCTGGAACAAAACCTTCTTAGTTTTTTTTGTACTTTAGTTCCTGAAAATTTGAAAAAAAATTAAATGACGTACAGACGCCACATACATACATCTCTTAGCGGAGACACGAACCAAAACACATTTACCTCTATATCTTTCGAACTAGTAGGCGGAGCGTAATATATAAGGTATCGTTTCAAAGGTATTGACCTATAGAATAACACTAAATACGTAGGGTGTACCCGCATGCCCCCCTTAATCGGCAAAAGCAAAAAAAAACGTTTTTTGTTTCACAATACTTTAGCCTAATATTTAAGAATCCGGTTAATCGTTTATGAAGCTTGAATACATTTTCTGGACCCATTCTGCAAGACCTTTCCAACGATATCTCAAACATGTCGATTGGACGTCTGGATAAAAACTTCCAAATCTCGTGTATATACAGTGAAACCCGCTTAAGTACCTAACCCGCTTAAGTAACCAACATATTTGAGCAATGTGAATTTTTGAATGTAATCTGAAGAAAATCCCTCTTTAAACTATCTCCCCGCTTATTTACCCCACCCGCCTAAGTACCTAAATTTTTCGAACACCATTTACCATTTTACCTGTAATTTTCCCCTTTGAGGTGCTCTTTTAAAATTCCTTAAAATATTTACATATTTTGAAATTCAGTGGCAGCGTTACACACCTTCGGGAAAGAAATTATAAAAAATAAACGGTAATTTTTAGCTACTTGAAACTTGCACATTATTACACTAAAATTGAATGGGCTATAAAACTGTATACACAACAAACACTTCTGGGAAAAACATTTAAATTTTTGGTGAATTTTTTCTGTAAGTTTCCTATAAAACATTAGGCTTAGGTTTATATGGTATTTGTTAGGGAATGAACTGTAGTTTAATTAAAGAATTTTAAATAATGCTACGGTTACTTTATTAAATGTTCATGTTTTATTTAAGGATTTACATATTTATGTGAGTCTACAAAAAGATGTAACTACATCAATAATTATGTTCGCTTAAGTACCCGCATCGAGGTACTTAAGCGGGTTCTTTTAAGAACCCAACCCGCTTAAGTACCTCAAAGAGCTGAGACTTTTCGTGAGGTACTTAAGCGGGTTTTACTGTATAAGCGAGTCATTTCAGCATTCTACTGTGGCTGCTTTCGTCACTCGCGCGCACTGCCGTGCGCTGTGATACATATACATAATATGGACGTGCTAGTAGGGAGTAGTAGTTATGTGGAGAAAGTCGTGGGACTTAATTTTGTCATTAATTTTTATTTCCTTTCGCAAGTGCTTAAGGGTGCGAAATTTGCATTAGAGTATGTATTAGTGGCCCTTTTTAACCACAATATTTAGTAATAGCTGGTAAAAAATTACAAAGGCCTACAAATCTGAAAAAAAAATCCAGACCATGGCATAAGATTTTCTCTATCGTGTCGTTCAGGATCTTGTGCATATGATCTTGCATTTGCATATTTCGGTGCATTTGTAAAATCACAATAGTAAAATGCAAACAGTTGCCATGGTATCTACCAAACATAAAATTTGCAAATGTAAATCCAGACCATTTGCACAATATCCTGAGCAGACCAAATATTTCAGCGCTTAAGTAGTAAACCTCGTGCTACAAACACATATTTACATGGGCGTAGCCAGCACGGTTTCCTCATTTGGTCACTTGTGACCAAAATAGGTAACTTTTTGAGTATTTGGTAACTTGGCAACTTTTTTTTATTTTGGTAACTT